TCTGTGTTGCCGTTTCTTTCACCGTTGTTTGTACACAAACACCGCGTGACCACTACTCAGTAAGCCAAAAGAGGGAGAATACCGAACCTTGTTTTCATCAAATTACAACTACTAGGTTATGTCCTTTTTTGTACAAATATATAGAGGCCTAAAATGATCAATAAAAATTTTCCATGGATCAATTTAGTAATAATAACAATTGAATATTCTATCGTCATCGGAAACAAAACTTCCCTGAAAATTTCAGCGCGCTAGCTAACTGGGAAGTGCCCGAAATTTCGATCGCAAGATTTGATTGGAGAACCAAACAAACAAACAAACAGACGCGAAAGCAAGTTAAAGAAAACGTGGGAAAATTGCCTAAAAATGTAGAAACAATACACCTAACATCCAGTAGAAAGGCCATCACCTTAACCAATAATAATCCTATACACAGAGATTCAAGATAACAATAAATACCTTACTTTATAAACTTCCCAAATAATTCAATCTATGTACACGCATTTTTATTACAACAGTTTAGATTGGATTTTTGTAAAATTGACTACCTTCAGACTTCTTTCAAACTTATAAACAAAATATCCTATTTTTAAGAATCTTTGATAAAAAAAATTGTACCTGAAAATTCTGTATTTAAACAACAGTAGTTTGATTTAAGTTTAGAGACTATGAATAGGACTACTTCCTAAAATTCTTTGTTCAGCCAAAATATCCAGTTTGTGGGGTAGAAATTTGATAGACATTTCTCCCACTTGACGGGAGCAACTATGTCGAGGCCCTTTTGACGGGGCTGTTTTGAGTGTGTCGTTTTGTCGGGGGCCGATTTGTCGATGTCGTTTTGACGGTGCACGGTTTCCTCAATGCCCCAGTGCCAGCAGTGTCTTAACTCCCCACTACTAACTAAAAATAAACCGGGAGTGATCTCCCCTAAACTTTCTCGAATATTCTTATATAAAATAATAGGGGATGGGAACTCGGGCTATAGACATGATTTTTAATCCATTTTAATTACTTAAAGTTTTAAAAATAGAATAAAATGTCGTAGACAAATTAATTGCACACCAAGTGAACGCGAAATAAAAAAGCGCATAATAGTGCGCAATATTATTATTACTTTTAAAATTTACATTAGTTTTTTGAGAAATCGGAAGTAGCGTAAAGTACTACTTCCAGTCAACAGAAATTACTCAAAATTTAATAGAAGGTAGAGAATTAGATCTTTTACTTACGTATGAAATTTCATTTATCTATCTGAAATAGTACTCAAGTTATAGGCTTTTGAAAAATTCAAAGTAGGAAAAGTACCACTTCCGGTTATCGGAAATCGCTCAAAAGTTGAAACGGATCTACGATTTTGATTAAATACTTATATATGAAATTTCATCAACCTAGCTGTAACGGTACTCAAGTTATCGTGTTTACACACGGACACACACACACACACACACACACACACACAGACACACAGACATACGGACAAGATTGCAAAAATATGTTTTTCCGTATCAGTGAGATGCAAAACGTCGAGATTTGAAAAAATCTCGATTTTTTTTTTTTGCACGATTACAAGACTTTCTCTATACTTCGTATATACGAGAAAGTAATAAAGGTACGGCTTAGTAGAATGCTAAAACGAAAGTCTCGAGTCCAAATCCGGAAATAAGTTCGTAGTACGTCCTGAGTCGTCCCCCCCCCCCCCCCCCAACACAACTCGAGTTAGGAGAAGCAAAGGCGGCTGGGCATTAGTACTGACCACACTATCCATATACTTGCCGAGGTCAGAGATCTTCTTTTGATCTATGGGCCACCAGGTTCGATAGGGAACTTCTTACTAACTATATAAAACATCCTCTCTCTGTCCAAATAACAACCTCAAGACACAAAATACTAACCAAAAATTATTATAAATCTTTCCTTGTACCAGCAAAAGCAACAAACCATTTAACTCAAGCCAGACTTACATCTCAATAAACAAACAATTGTTTTCAAGGATTGTTTCGATGTTTTACTACTGTGTAATAATATCTTGTTTTAAAACATCAAATGCTTCTGTTACTCAACAGACCTATATATAACACCCAACAGACGTGCAAAAACTTAACTGGTTTAATTAAAAAATAATCAGGGGTATGAACAAAGGTCACGTGATTTTGTTTTTCAATACAAAAGGGCGGTACCTTCATCATACAGATCACATGATCACAATTCTGGCTTCCATTTTGAATAAGGAACACACCGATACTTAATGTTCCCCGGTGTACTGGCTAGTTCCTTTGTGCGAATGGTTTTTTTTTTTACTGATTTTAGTACATTTAAAATAGTCACCGTGGCAGAGCACGGGTATGCAGCGAGTATTGTATATATCGCTATGACATAAAAACTGTATATATTTGACTATTTTAATTGTAAACTATTTTGTTAGTGCAAAAGAAGAATCAAATATTGGGGTTCAGTGGCGTAGGCAGGGGGGTTAGGGGGGTCATAACCCCTCCCCCATAGACCCCTCGGTATATATATAAAAAGTATGAGGGGGGGGGGGGTTTGTCCCCGGGTAAAAATTGGAACCCCTCCCCCCCCCTTGAGACGATCCTGGCTACGCCACTGTTGGGGTTGTTTTTCTAAGGTGACAGCAATGGTGTTTTACAGATTGATAGAAAAAAACATGTGTTGTGAGTTCACGCGTAGGACGCAACACGAACGTTTACACATGAATACACGGGGGTAAAGGTCAAGGATCAGCAACACACGTTACACGTGATAGATGTTACAAAACTCTAGAACACGTTGTATTCGGAACTCACGAAGCCTTAGCGGGTTTTGTTGGTTTCTTAATAAATACATTTTATTGCACTTAATTCAACATTATTTTTTTTTGTTTTTACAAGTCTAAGTCACCGTCAAGTTCAAGGCCGTCTCCCCAGTCATCCATATCGTCAGACATGGCGAACATAAGATTCAAAATCGTGGCGGCCGCATCTTGAGCGGCCCGGGGAAGTAACCGGGACGGTCTGGCGATAGGAAGGGCCGAGTACGGATTGCCTCCCCTGCTGATGATCGTCCTTCTCGGCTGGTTGAAATTGGTGGACGGGGTGTTTTAATCTGGGCGCAGCTGGTGGACGGGGTGAAAAACATTAACGCCGCCGTGTTCCCGTCGTCGCCAAGGTCACCAAGGCCGTCGATCAGGGATCCCAGGCCCTCGGTGAGGTCTTCCCCCAACTCTGCCACGCCCTCGCCCAGCTCGCCCATCTGTTCACCCAACGCCTCGCCGACTTCGCTGACGCCTTCGCCGATCTCCCCGAGGCCTCCGCCAATGTCGCCGATATCCGGGTCAAGGTCGACGTCACCGACGATATCGCCGGCCTTGTCCACCTTGTCGGCGGCCGCGTCCTTGAGATGTCCCCGGCAACATCCTGGATCCCATCCCTGATGTCTCCAAGATCCGGCGCGTCGATGACGTCACCGATCCCATCAAGCACATCGCTGACACCGTCACCCAAATCGCCGATGACGAGGTGAGAACAAGTCCCCATAAAACTATAGCGCAAGGGTGTGGGCGTGGGGGGGGGGGGCTATCTAAAAGGGTTAGTCTATATTCATTCTTCATCGGGGAGTATTTTATTTTAAAAATAAACCGGGAGTGATCTCCCCTAAACTTTCTCGAATATTCTTATAAAAAAAAAACAGGGTATGGGAGCTCGGGATATAGACATGATTTTTAACCCATTTTAAATACTTTAAACTTTTAAAGATAGAATAAAATCTCGTAGGAAAAAGAATTGCATACCAAGTGAACGCCAAATAAAATGTGCATAATAGTGCGGAATATTATTAGTACTTTATAAATTTACATTAGTTTTTGAGAAATCGGAAATAGCGTAAATTAGTACTTCCGGTCAACGGAAATTACTTAAAATTTGACAGAAGGTAGAGAATCAGATCTTTTACTTACATGTGAAATTTTATTTATCTATCTGAATAGTACTCAAGTTATAGGTTTTTGAAAAATTCAAAGTAGAAAAAGTACCACTTCTGGTTATCGGAAATCGCTCAAAAGTTGATAGGGATATATGATTTTGATAAAATACTTATTCTTGAAATTTCATCAGCCTAGCTGTAACGGGGCTCAAGTTATCGTGTTTACAGACACACACAGACACACACACTGACATGAGGACAAGATTGCAAAATTATGTTTCTCCGTATCAGTGGGGCTTAAAACGTCGAGATTTGCAAAAATCTCAATTTTTTTTTTGCAAGATTACAAGACTTTCTCCATACTTCGTATATACGAGAGGTTCCCAGAAAGAAGCGCAACGGAAAAAAGCGCAAAACAAAAAGCGCAAACAGAAAAAAACGCAAACAGAAAAAAGCGTTGTTTTCCGTGTGCGCTTTTTTCTGTTGTGCTTTTTTCCGTTGCGGGTTTTTCCGTTGCGCTTCTTTCTGGTCACCCATTTATAAATATAAAGTCTATATCATATGAGTATGAGTCACCTTTCTTTTACATTTGTTAGATCTAGCCTTGGACGATTTTACGTACCTAAAACAATAGATTACCGCCAAATCTATTGTACATATTCTGATATTAACTTTAAAGAGCTAGACCTATGTTTCAAAATCAAATTATTGGTGGTTAAACAGCGGCCATCTTCACAAGCGCCCAAATGCCAAATGATAAACTGCTTAGATTGTCACTTTCTATGCGCATGAGACTTATGAAACATAGAACTAATTTAAGTTTGTCAACATAACTTAAAAACAGTACTCAAATTATCGTGTACATAAACAGACAAGAATACAGAAAAAAAATGAAAAAATAAGTTTTTCTACTCAATACTTCATCGAATGTATAGATCTAGATCTCTAGTATTCTTCTACTAGACGTCTATACTTGGTAAAGTAGAAAGAGTCCTGTTGGGTAAACAATACATTCTACTGCTACCGACTGCTGTGCGGCAGATCGGTTTCTAAGCTAAATTATTCTTTCGCTTTAAATAAAAGACTTACTGTAACCTAGAACAAAAAATATTGAATAAAAAAAAAGCTAGATCTAGATCTAGGTCTAAACTTCTATTTACTATGTCACTATTCTAGGCGTGACTATTCCGATATAGAAAGTAGATCTACTACTCCTACCAAGGCAAAAGTCTACTAGATCTACATGAAGTTTGAAGTCTTGGTAATCCGGGAGTTTTAGGTACGTAAAATCGGCCGAGAATAGAATAGAATAGATGTAAATTTTTTAAAAAGTTACTAAAAGTGACTCACTCATTCATTGACTCATTACAATTACACCATTACACTCATTAGTCAAGTTTAGTCAGTTTATATAGGCCTATATTATATATATAATATTATATATAATATATAGTACTAAACTATTAGTATTAGATCTAGATCTAGAGTAGGCATTTTTTATGAAAATTTCATCATTTTTAAATAAAAAAATGTTAATGTAGGCCTATCAATAATATTATGATTATTAATAGTTTTATTAATATTATATATTATATAGGGCTTATAGGGGTCATCCATAAATCATCATGACGTCACGCTTTTTTTGACGATTTTCACCTCCCCCCTCCCCTCCGTCACACGTCATCACAAAAAGCCAGACGCCCCCCCCCCCCTAAAATGACGTCACACCTCAACCTACAACCCCCCCTCAAAATTGCAGTTGAATTTTTTTTAAACATCGATATTTTTCTAAAATCTTGTCTAAACTATTACAATTTATTGTAATATCTTTAAAAACTGGGAAATTTTGTAAATTGTAACTTTTAGCTCTTCCGTCTCAATTGGTTGCCGACCCCTGGCCTAATATTTAGCTATCACACTAGTAAATTAAGCCAATTTAGCATATTTTAACTTTCTGTGCAAAGTCATTATTACTGAAAAAAATTCCAAAGTCAGATCAGCCTGTGGCACCCTCCAGGAAAAAATATTTGACCTGTTACCATCATTAAAACAGAATTTTCTTTTATTTTTTTTTATTTTTAGTAAACATGTGCTTAATCTTACCCACTAAGTAATAAAAATTTGAAAATTAATTTTAATTAATGTTGTAAAGTGAGATAAACAGCTTAATAAACATGTGTTTTCTTAAGGCTTGAGAGGGTGTGACCCGGGTGTGGCACATCGCAATTGGAACTTTATATTTCTGTGTTTTATGACTATATTTGTATAGTTAATTCTACACACAGTTTCTCCAAGACTTCAGGAAATAAAACATTGACCAGGAAATGAGAGTGGAAATTTTGAAGGAATCTACCTAGTGAAACCAAGAATGTTATATTTAGGCTAAAACTGAGCTCTTAACCGCCACCCTATCTATATATAATTCTCTTCTTGGAGACGTTAGAAAACAAGCTGTAAGCGCGCCTTGCAGTCCCCTCTCTTCCTCTCTAGGCATATCGCGACCACCCCCACCCCAACATGGTCTGGTGAGCTGTGGTTCACGCTAAATGTTTACAATCGTACAGCCGGGTTTAGTGACGGCTATTAGGGGCAGATAATTTAGTTTGAAACTATTTTAAACTTAGGGGAGGTAACTAAGAGGAGGCTGCTTTCGAATTACTGAAAAGTAGAAAATAATACAACTAAGTAGTGGCGTATGATACGCAGCGGGTCGGCTAGTGTAATATAAAATAACAAATTGATAAACCACCACTTCACCCAGTTTGTGTTATATATGTGTGATCCCAAGCTAACAACAATCAATTTAAAACCAGACGCAAAAAGCTTTCATTTTTGTATTTCTTTTTCAGATTAAATTACAGTTTCTACAATAAAATATAAACAAGAAGATAAAAAACGAGCATTGACTTTTAAAAAAGAAAAATGGGCAAACTGAATATTTTTGAAATTTCCTTCAGTAATTTGAGTGGTGTGTATTTTTCTGGTGACTTAATGCAAGGTTACGTTACTATAGAGTTAACAGAATCAATGGAAATGAGAGGTAGGTTGAATGTATAACTATAAGCTAAAAATAGACTTTTGTCTGCCATTTTAATATATTCCATTGTAGATTACACTGAGATGCTTAAAGAGTAATGTTGTAAGGTTTTATGTATTATCCACTCCCACCTTCTCTCTAATATTTCTTTCTGATTAGTTGTTTGTCAACAATCTCACATCATCATAGAAGATTTGTATGAGTGTGTGATTGTTTCTAGCCAATGCATGTTTAAAATTTATCTAATGATTTACTTATTTTATTAATTTATTTCAATGAATCTATTAGTTAATTTTATTCCCATTCAACTAGCATTCTATTTCCTGTATTGAAGGTATAAGGCTCAAGTTGAAAGGAGGAGCTAAAGTCCTCTGGACAGAAAGTGAAACATCAAGTGATGGGGACAACTCAACCACGACCACTCATACTCATTCTGCTAGTGAGAAGTACTTTTCCCAAACTATTCTTTTAATGGGAATATGTAAGTACAGAGACTTAAGCATTATTAGTTTAACTTTATATAAGCATGAATTTTCTAATTTTATTTCTACAAGTATACCTCTGGTTTAGAGGTGGCGAGTAGTAGGGTCCTCCGCTGCAAGCTGGAAAGTCTTGAGTTCAGATCTTCATCAGAACTTGGTACTGCATGCTTTTCTTAATACACCTAGCTTTGACGAGTCCCTGACTCACGTTAGGGAAAGTAAAGGTGGCTGGACAAAATGCTGACCACACCATCCCTTCATACACCGAGGTCAAAAAAAAAAGAATTCTAATTAATCTGCCCCTTAGATATTTTGACTTGAAAGGGGAACTTTACTTTTATTTCTGGTTAAAGGTATCTTTGTCACAAATCATAGTAACTTATAATACAACATACATTGTTATCTTTATAACCTTTTATTGAACCTGTTTACAATAAAGGCTAAACTAATACAGCATATATTACAATCAAATATTTTCATATCCATCGAAAACACAAAAGCAATAAATGAAGTTGGGAATTTATTCTTCAGTGCCAAAGCAAGGGAACCAAACTGTGTCGCTGCCCGTGGGAAGGCACACATATCCCTTCCAGTTTCAACTACCTACTGGGCTTCCATCTTCATTTGAGGACTCAATTGGCCATGTGAGGTATACTGTCAAATCAGTTATAGACAAGCCTTGGAAGTTTGACCACAAAACCAAACGGCCTTTCACCGTCATAAGTATCCTGGATTTAAATTTACAAGCTGACTGCAGTGTTAGTTTTTTTTTTTTAAATTCACAGTGATTAACCTCATTCTTTGTTTTAATAATCATCTAATAACTTAAATTTTTAAATATTTTTATTGATAAATATATAAAAACAATATTTATTTATTTTTCCTTTTTATGTACAAGACACATCCACTTTTGTCGGTCACCGGCAATTTTCCTGGCAAAGTTCCCATGATAGTCCTGCCTCTGTTTCCCCACCTTAAATTTATTTAAAAAAAAATAATGCAAAGAATGTAACTTTTCCGCACTTTTATGCAAATCAGATTTTTCCATTTGGGTAAAATTATTGTCCACAAAAAAAAAATAAAAAAATCACCATTACCCAAATCATCCTTTACCCCACTTTCTATGGTTGTGCTGATCTTGAGGTTCACAATATACATACCTCATGACACATGAGCACGGTCCTGTAAAGGCTGTCTCAACTCTACTATTGCTGTTATTTAATTATCTTATTTCTTATTATTGAAAAAAGAAACTACATGGATCTGAGGAAATTTGGATGAAATCAAATTATTAAATGATAATAGGGCATAATATACCATTTTTTTTACCAATTGTATTTTATGTTATGTTTCAATAATAAAATCATTCCCCCACTTCTCTACTTCTCTCCACAGCTAAAATTTGTATCTTAAAGCGGGGTTTGGGGGGGGGGGGGGGGCGTTACATCACTAAGCCTTACAGTATTGATCTCACATATTGAGATATTGCTTGAGAGATTTTGTTTTATTTTTTTTTGTTTTTCATATTGGATTTAAAATAGATGTAGGGCTTCTAAAATGTGTGTTCCTTACAGCAAAAGCTACAGGCAACAAAGAGCAAGACACTGTGTTGTCTCTGCTGCAAGTCTCGCCCCATAGAGGCGACATTTGTTGTTGAAAGGAAAGGCTATGTCCCAGGGGAAGCAATCAAGCTGTATGCTGAGATCTTCAATGGCACAAATAGGGCAATGTCCAAGTCTTATATCAACCTAACAATGGTGAGAGAGTATTTACTGTTATTTCTAACTAAAGCTTATATTTAGGCTTTAAGTTGACATGTTTTAAATAATTGTTGGAAATAAATTTTTTAGAAGGCGAGTTTTTAAGAAAATAATTATTTTTGTATTAATTACAAGAAAAAGAATTTATAAGAATTTTAAAATATTTTTCAAAAATTCCTCTAAAATGACGTTTGTTATTTTTTATGCTAAAACGCATTTTAGAGAAAATTTAATTTTTACTTTGTTGTTTATAGGGTATCTTAAATTACAGAGTATTTAATAAATGTTCTAGTGTTTAAGGTGACTTTTTAACCCAAGTATGGCCCAAAAGCTGGGAGTTGTCTTGGTATTGTGTTATAGGGTTCAGTATATCCCAAACTCTATATCTTAGCTGGAAAAGCTGGGGGTCATCTTATACACCAAAACAATTTAATTGCTAGAAATAGTTATTTAGGCCTAATATAAATTGAATTTTTATAAACTTTTGTTTTAGAGCTTGTTTTCTTCAAGTTTTTCTCAGTGCTTACATTTTTTTAAACATTTGATTTCTGGTGGTTTGAATTGTACTTATGTTTTAAATACATCTCATGAATTTCTGTGCTTTTATACAGGTGAAGTCTTTTCATGCTACAACAGATTCAAAAACGGAATACAAAGAAGTTGCCAGATTGACGCGACCCAGCATTCAACCACGGCAGGGGGATGCCTGGTCAGGTGAAGAGTTGGTAATCCCTCCCCTCCCACCGTCGTTTCTTCATGGTTGTAAAATTATTGACATTAGCTATAAGTTACAGGTAATTCAAGACAACGTTATACTAGATACTATTGTTATTAGATACCAAAAATTCTTTCAATTTCCATGTGAAAATGGTTGATTTCTATTTAACGATTAAGTAGGTGTTGCTAATTTAATAAATTATTTGCTGAGTGCTAATGATTTGTTTCATAATTATTCGAAGGTAGATAGTATTTTCATTTTAGGGTTATTTTTTAATACTTTTTTCATCCTTAGTGAATGTTTACTAAATGATTCATTTCTAACTTATTGTTCTTAAAATGATCCATCATTAACTAAATGTTGTCTAAATGATTCATCTTTAGCTGAAAGTTGTCTAAATGATTCATCTTTAGCTGAATGTTGTCTATATGATTCATCTTTAGCTGAGTATTGTCTAAATGGTACATCATTAACTGAATATTGTCTAAATGTTGTATCTTTAGCTGAATGTTGTCTAAATGATACATCATTAACTAAATGTTGTCTAAATGATACATCATTAACTGAATATTGTCTAAATGTTGTATTTTTAGCTGAATGTTGACCCCTCTGGACCAGCCCTTGACCTTGAGATCCCATTTGACATCATCATCGGGACGATCCCTCTTCTGTCTGTTGTACAGAAATATCCACCTCTGCCTCCCCCACCCCCAGCTTGGGACAAAATGTACTTGTGGGAAAACACGCCCTCTGCCCCACCCCTAGAACATGTCTACCCAGCTCCCCCTGCCAGTAGTGTGCCCAATTTACGTAAGTACTCTCAAGCAGTTTTATGTTTGTTCAATTCTAAAGATTACCTAAGCGAAGAGAGACGTTATTTATTGAAGAAGTATTTGCCCAAATAGTTATTAATAATTTACACACTTACCTGAAAAAATTTCCATTAAGAAAAAAATATTAAGTACAGTACATTTACCTTCTCTAGGCATGATCTCAGTACAATTTTAAAATTAGCAAACCCGAAATGAATTTTTTAGATTCAGTTTCTCATAAGATGCGACTATGCTTAAATTGACTCAATAAAATTAGATTTTGCTTATTTCAGCTCCACCATCCTATGATGAATGCATCACAGGACGTGTGAATATCAAGGGGTCTAGTGACGAGTACACAAGAGGGAACTTGAGTTACTGCCCCATGTATCCTTGTTATAATTGGGGAAAAACTGCTAGTGGTTTGCCAGAAGTAGAAAAATAATTTACCTCCCTTGTTGAAACTTTTGTATTGTAGGGACCTATGAGGATGGCTTGAAAATGTTTCCGATACCAACTTGAACATTGCAGCACATCAACAAATTTGGTGACATTTTTTTTTGCACGTTTTGACAACTACTCACGTAAATATTTTTTAATGTTAGGCATTGGCGCGAATGTCGATGAACACACACATGGGTTGGCAGAAATCTGTACTCGCTGATGATAAGATCATTCAAGTACACCATATGATCCTGGTCAAGCATTAAATTACGGTTAAAGAGAAAACAGAAATAATGTTCACAAAAAAATGTTTGTTGGATATTAAAACAAGACTGAGCTATAAGAAAACTGAAAGTACATGAACATTTGCACTTCTTTTTCAGATGGGTTGGAGAGTATTGCTGGGAGAAGTGCATAGATCTAAAAAGAGGTGAGGAAGAGAAAAATAATAATTTAAAATAAAAAAAACTACATGTTTCATTGTTGTGTCGGAACATTTTCAAACCAACCTCATCAAGCAACTCAAATAGAGAGATTGTATTGTATATGTTAGAAACAACTTGATCATTACAGCTGATTTCAACTTTTATTGTGATTTTATTCTGTAAGCTGATTTCTTGAAAGTTTGTGTATTCTATCTACTTACATGTATTGTTACATTTCAGTGTAATCTTTTTAAATGAACCAACTATACTGATGAAAGTGTTTAGAAAAAAAATGTCATCCCTAGTTTATAGGGTTTTTTTCTAACACATGAAGTGCTTTTATTTTTTGTTACTTGTGTAATATCTTAACTTGATTGTGTTCTGAATGGAATCATGAGCTTGACCTTCTTAGGTTTAAATTGTACTTGCCCATATAACACAACAACTGGCTATGAAAAAGATTAATAATAACGTTTGAACCCTAAATTAATATGTACATAGTTTTGTTTATATTTTTAGGTTTGTTATGATGCTCATTTTTAAGCTTCTTACACCTTTAAAAAATTGATCTTAAATTCTGCTTAGACTGAGGTCAAAGAAAGGAACGAATTCTACGTGATGTTACGTACATATACTAATTTCTACAGCGCTCTAGTTTTAAATAGTTAATTATTGTATACATCAACATGTTGCGTATTATTTGAAGTACCCTATATTAGAAAACAAGGATGAGGAAATGTTAGTGTTGAGAATACTTTTTGTTGTAGATCATGTTTATTAAATGTTTCTTAAATGTTTTTCTGGCTATTTTTGACCCAATGTTTTATCTGTAGAGTTATTTATCTGGCTCAGTTTCTGCATAAAGTTAATGTTAGTATACTGCTTTTTCAGATAATGTTAATGTTGAAATTGGTTGTTTTTTTTAATCAAGTCTAGTATATCTTACAAGTAACATTTTATGTATTGGTTTTTTTACCCCTCATATGATACATGTTATTAGCTTCCACCACCAGTATTGTGCTTAACTTCCCTGTGATGACATAGTCATGACCAACAATATGGTTTAAGATCCTTGCTGACTTTCTGCATTATCCCAGTGTTAAATATTATCACTGTCTCAATATGGCAGTTGATGAGATGTTAAATAATTCTCCACCATAAATGTGTTTCCTTTGCTCCTAATAACATTTTTAAAAAATAACGAACATAAGTTTGATATTCTTTGTAATACTTGTGGTAAAATGCTTTATTTATTATAGTTTGAATCTTCAATTTATTTTTTTACTATTTTTTCTCTACACCCAAGCTCACGTGATATTATTTTATTTTGCAGGCACAAAAACTATGGTTTTGATTTGCTATAGTTTAATAGCTAGAGAGAAGAGATGTCCTTTGATATTTTGTATTGACACGTTTTATTTATGATATATTTCATCCTTGAGCCTAATTTACATGAAATATTTTGTCTTAAGATTTTTTGCCTGAGATAATTTGTGCTGAGATATTTTGCCCTGAGATATTTTGTGCTGAGATATTCTGAGATATTTTATCCTGAGATATTTTATCCTGAGATATTTTATCCTGAGATATTTTATCCTGAGATATTTCATCCTGAGATATTTTATCCTGAGATATTTTGTTCTGAGATATTTTGTTCTGAGATATTTTGTCCTGAGATATTTTATCCTGAGATATTTTATCCTGAGATATTTTATCCTGAGATATTTTATCCTGAGATATTTTGTTCTGAGATATTTTACCTTGAGATATTTTGTCCTGAAAACATTTATATGCACAAAAATACCTGTGGCATAAACACCAACCAAGCCACTAATCTGATTTTTATTTTCAATACCATAGTGTTTTCTACAGATTGTGTTATACATTTTATACTTTGTTTTTCTTTATTAACCATTAACATCTTTTTGTACATACAGCTGCCAAAATTTGAATCTCTTTTTAGTTTTTAAAAATTTGGTTCATGAGCAATTTAGAATAATTTTTGAAAAAAAAGGAATTAGTTCTTGAAACAATTCTTGTAATATTATTAGAAATGAGTGAGCTATAATTTTATGTAATGTGATGCTTCATTGTGGTTTGAGATATTTATTATATAATAATACTTTTTATTTGTGGGTTTGACTTAAAACTATATACTTGGCTTTTATTATCTGATTGATGACTTCAGATAAGTAATAAATACAACCAGTGTCTTACATAAATATGAAGAGGGGTAGTCAGGTGTTATTACTTACTAAAATAGCAATTTTGACATGGAGTGTTATTTTAACCTTTGTCCACCTTTAGTGCTAAAATAACACTTTATGTAAGTATTGCTAAAACATAAATATACCCATATTTTTACCTAACTATAACCATAAGACTTGATGTTGTTTGTTCGATTACGGTTTTGTGATAAGATTTTCTGACAATTTAAAGCACAAATCTTGTTTTTTTAGATAAACTGTTGTACCAAACTTCCTTGGAACAAAAATCTGCACCTTTATATTTTTATGCTACTTATTATCTCATTTCAATCGATTTTGCTAAGGCCCAATAGAATTCTTAAAATCATTTGTTGTAATTTAAGTTGTATAAAAACACTTAGTTTAGCGGGTTTTTTTTTGGTATCAAAACATACAGTTTTTATGTATATATAATTACATTTTGTAATTTTAGTGAGCTTTGTTTCAATGGTGGAAGAGGATGTTTATTTATACAACTGGTCCTGTAATTTTATTTTACAATTTCATGAGTACTGTCCCCTGTTATTTTATTTGCTCTCTACAAAGTGCTTTTTATTTTTATGTAAGCCTTACACCAGTATATTAACAATCAATGATGTTCTTTGCATTTTACATTTACTCAAAATACATTTAATATATACTAAAACAGGTTAGAATTAAGTATGAAAGAAAACTCAAACTTAATTAAAACTTGTCTAGGCAAAAAATACTTTAGTTTGTTGATATTTTAAAATAATTGTGTGGTTATGTGATTTGATGAATAAGTGTTGGAGAGTTTCATTCATAGAAACAAATTAAGAAATTGTACAAAGTGCTTAAGGGACGTGGTGGTTGAGTAATAGTGGTGCTGAGTTGCTAATCTCGAAGTTACAAATTTAGTTCCAGGGTTCTAGTCGTAGAGTCCACCCAGTTCTGGAAAGTTCCAGATTTTAGGCATGGACTGAACAGATGGCTTACATATTGCTGACTACACAAATTCTGCCTTGAATGAGGTCAAAAAAAGATTCCACGTGATGTTACTTACATTTTACATAGTTACTAGGCTAGCATGATAGCCACCCTAATTCGGTATGTGGATCAATAAATAAATCAAAACTTGAACAGGATTATTCACATATGCAAATAAATACTTGCAAATAAAAATGTCATGGTTTGTAAAAA